TGTATCGTTTTTGCATTGTATCGTACGATACACGATATGATATGTACGATACGTGATGATTCTATTTTTTTATTTTTTTTTTGGTTTTTTAGGACTGAAATAACATTTTTTTATCTTATGACTTATTTTTAAATCATTAGCGAATGAAACAATGTCGTTTCAGTGATTATGGTTTAAAAAAAAAGATAAATTCTGCTGTTAATTATTCAATTGAATTTAAAATTCCTGATTAATATTAAGGTTGTTCAAACTGTTAATGTTGAAAGTTTGAATTAGAGGTTTTTGTATTTTGATATTACTGAACTATATTGGGAACTTTAATAGTTGATGGAATATTAATGAAATGCTATGTTTTTATGAATCTATAACTTTTTTACAAAGGTATATATATATTATTAATAATTATTTAAAAATTAAAATTGCGTGTATTTTACAATACACGATACGATACGATACACTATTTTTTAAAAACGATTCGCCATCCGATACGCGATTTGACAACTATGGTTATAAGTATTAGAATTTTGTAATCCTGAGCTGTAACTTATTCAGAAAGCATTCATATTCAGTATGAACTAGAATCACTTTGTGATCACTTTGTCACATGCATCTTTGGCATCAGGCTGGATGCATAGATTTGTAATATAATTCAGAGTATTGCTTCGTGTATTCTATTGCATCATCTATTTTTTATGGATTTCGTGTGCTTTTATTCCTGATTGACATTTCAAAAAAAGTTTTTAATCAATTGAATTTCATCAAACCTCGACCTTGTTTAATACATGGGTTGCTGCCAAATTACTGGTCCAAGCCTTGATCTTGACTACGATGCAGTTTTCAACCCATCATGCTTGAAGTTCATGCTTGACGAAAAAAGTGGAATGTTTCTAATAGTTGTCCAAAAAATCATGTGACCTTCTGCTTAGTTGTACCAAGATTCTATTGTTCTCTTAATGACTTGTGATCTTTTTCCTCCTCCTTGTCTCATTCTTAGCCGTGTCAATATGGGATCTGGTATTGCAGAATATTAGAATAGAGAATTTACTGTGAAAACTGGTTTTCTTTGGGCTCATATATAATTCGAAATAGGTCCTGTTAGAGAGATTTTGATATTGTTTAGTATGGTCATTTTGATGCCTAATTGTAAGTTGTCTGCAAGATAACCTAATATGAGCATCTTGAGGAGTATATCCATGCTAATAGAAAAGCAAAGCAATTCTATGAATTGAGCTTAGACAGGTTGAAGATGACCTAAGGGCCTAGGCTAATTTTCCTGCATGGGTTTTAGAAAATCTTAACCAATCTCAGTTTGTTTTGAACCTCGGATGAGGTGGCAGAGAAGTCAATGACTCAATCGTATCTGTAGCCAACCATAATATATACTGTGTCAGTTAGTTAACATAAGTATACCCCCATTTTTTTTAAAATAATAAGGGAATGAGAACATAATATTGGGCTTGACAAATTCCAAAGGCCACATAATTCTACCTCATCCATTCTAGATCTACTACGTGCGCCAGCCTTCTCGTGACAGAAATTATAGTAATAAATATAGTAATATTAACAAGAAGAGAGACTGAGAGAGTTAAATGAGACCTACATTTCGAGGAACTCTTCCTTGTCTTGCCATTTTATACCTCTTGACTGAACCTAGAACTTGGTTCACCATTGAATTTGAGATGGAAAAAACGGGTTTTTTGCTTGCTCTATCTCTGCCCTTTGTGTTTTGTTCTCTGGAAATTTTAGTGTCGATCTTTATATTCTCTCGGAATTTTGTTATTCTCTCTGTGAAATCACAGCTTTTCTACATTGATAATCTCTCTTACTCAAGTAATCTCACATCTCTCTCTGATATTGTTTCTGCTCTGTTTTACCCTAGCCACTCAACCCCAGCTCAAAAACCCACATTCTGTCAAGTTTTCAATCCTAAAGAATCCTCTTGCTGTCTTATCTTATGTAGTTAGTCAGGTTTCAGTAGGAGAAAACTGATTATTTTGTGCCTTGGTGGTGGTTTAAAAAGGTCAAATTTGAGCGGCTAGAGATGTTACCTGTATTGTATACTTACATGAATGATGAATCTCAATCATTTGTTTTTAAAGTTCACTTATTTTCCAAAATAATCTGTTGGTAAGCCTTTATGGAAAATTGTTGGCCAGCAAGTAGAGTGAGGGTAATGCTTATGATAGTCTTGATGTCACAATATAAGGAATATTATGTGCCTTGGGTTTTAAGCAATTGCTAAAGGTTTTTTACTGTTAGAATTGTTTCATTTAAATTATATTTGTATGCATCTGTCCATGGATCCTGAGAATGGGCTTTTGTGTGCCTGTATGTCCTAACTATATGTGAGCAGCAGTCTATGTTCTGTTAAATTTGCATTTTTTAGGAAGCAAAATTTTCATTAATATGCTTCCTTATGAACTTTTTTTCCCACTTTATTAAATCCTTTGTTAAGGTTTTGGATAGCTACAATTCAACTGCAGCTAATATTTATATTCTTTGTCTAGCAGATTGAGCAGATTCGCAGTGTCTTGGATCTAATGCGTCGAGGCGAGGGCTTGCGATTTGAGGTTAGATTTTGGTTTTGGAACTGTGTGCTATTGTGTTGTTTGTGTCAAAAAACCTTGCTGAAATGTTTACACTCATAAGTGTAGAGAGACTTGTGCAAATAAAGGCATAGTATTTTTATTCTCAAGACTCTAGTGCAAACCCTAAACCCTGCTGGATTATGAAGCCTGCTATCTGGTTAGATAAGAGTTGTCTCTGCCCCTTTTTATTTGGGGGTGAGGGGTGGTGTTTATGGTGGAAAGAAAACGTGCTCATGGATTTTATCTGATTTCTTTTAGTGGAAAAAATTTGAACTCAGAGAATTTCTTGTATACATTCAGGAACTGGTGCCTGAGGAGAATGTAAAGAGGATGGTTTAATTATCTCATGAATCTGGATAAGAAATTTGATTAAAAAATTGCTTAATCTTGAGTCTGACTTGTTCAACAAATAAGTGAATTTTCTATCTAGTGGTCTTATAGGTGCTTCTGCTCTTCTGTAGGATGTTATGATCCTTGATCAGTCGGTCTTTTTTGGGATGGCAGACGTTCATGATCGGCACAGGGATATGCGGCTTGATGTTGATAACATGTCATATGAGGTAAGTGATGCAAAAGGGTCCCATTGTATTTTCTGTAACAGAAGTGCTAAAAATTGTTCCCTTACTTGAAATTTGCCGGGCTCCCAGGAGTTACTGGCACTGGAAGAGCGCATTGGAAATGTATGCACTGGGTTGAGCGAAGAAACCATTTTGAATTGTTTGAAGCAGAGGACATATATAGCCATTGCAACAGAAAACCAAATGGAGGCAGAACCATGCTGTATATGTCAGGTACGTACATTTTTCCTCTTTTTCAAATATCTGCATCATTTATTTCTTCCATTAATGTGTTAGGTGTTTTTTTTTTAATCATTTCAATTTTATATTATTGTTTCCAGGAGGAATATAATGATGGCGATGATCTTGGAATGCTGGAGTGTGGGCATGATTTCCACAGTAACTGTATCAAACAATGGCTGATGCACAAGAATTTGTGCCCCATTTGTAAAACAGCGGCGTTGTCTAAATGACAGAAGACCAGTATTCTTGGACATTACTCTGATTCCTGATTCGATAAGAAGGTGGGGAGGGCAGGATATGAAATTGTGTTATTCTGCTTAGCATGGTTGATTGAGACTACTTGGTTGATAAGATCAATCCTCCCCATGGCATCACAATACCATGGAATATACACTAGTATTTTTATCTTAATTTTATTGTGATCTCCTTGTGGAGGATACAAACGATTCAAGAAGTGAAAGTACAACTGGTTTAAACCTTCTGGGAAGTAGAACTATTGAACATCTGTTAATTTTCCATTGATTACTGAGCCAATGTGCATGCCATTTTTTTTTTTTTTTTTGGTTGGATTTCTTTTTGAGCATTATGAAGAAGAATTGCTTACTGCCTGGGTTTCATTCCTTCTTTTTTTTTCCCTGAATAATGGATTAGACTTTTTTTTTTTTCCGGGTGTTGAAACATGTGCTGATTATTCTCTTGAGTTTAATTGTTGATCATTGTAGTTTGAGGTGGTCTAGAGCATGTCCATTGTGTCTCTAAAGGGACAAGGGTGGTTAGTCTGTGAAAAGAAATTGAATTTAAGACTTTTGGGTTATCAAAGAATAGACCTAATTACTAAATCCACCCATATGGGTTATGGATTAGATTTGTTTGCAGTGAAATATGCTTTCTTTGTCAACACTAAAACACAAATTTAGACATTTCTGAGTGGAGTGGTTTTGCACTAGCAACAAAGAAAGTAGAAGTGTAACATTGTAGGTGTTCTACTCATTTCCTTCTTTGGCCAACATGAGCTACTTAGATTCGTGAATTCCGATTGAACTCGAGTAAGAATCAAAGTTAATGCGTGAATATATAACTCAAGTTGAAATTCAAATTGAGTTTTGAGATTTGTTTTTTGTCACTACAAACTTAAGGACTAGAAATATCTATTTAACTATTACGCACTTTGAATTTGTCTCGGTATAGGTTTGAGTTTTTTGTTGGCTACGAATATTTAAGCTTGTGTTAATTATTCTTTTGAATTCAGATATTGGTTAATGTAGTTTGAATGGGTTGTTGAACTTGAGACTCTTAAATTACCAAAGTCACTAAACTACACTTAAGGATTATATATGTTTGAATTATCTTGTTGAAATGCATACCTATAGATGAAAAAGGAAAAATAATATAAAGTTGTTCATCAATAAAAAAAGAAAGAATAAAATTCAAATAATTTTTGATACTTTTACAAAATCAATGGAGTATGAGAAATAACAAAAAGCTAAGGATGATTTTAAGGTATAAACGAAAACTTTAGGTGCTTTTACGAAATAAACCCAACTTACAAGTTATAATACAATTAAGGCGGGAGTGCGATCAAATTTGATTGCAAGCTCTGTAATCTCTCTTTTAAAGCTTTTAAATTGCAATCACTTCTAGAGAGAGAAAAACCCACCCCCATTCGAGAGAGGGAGAGAGAAATAGAGAGAGAGCAGATGCATACAAGGTGTTGAATTCCTGTGTATTATTGTGATGATGATCTCTTTCTGGTTAAATTAATGGCAGATCCGTACGGAATCAACGCTCGCCCATCCTTAATCGAATCGGACGACATGTCTTCGATTCTTCATGATATTCTCCACTATTCATCTGCTCCACCTTCAAATTCTTCTTTAAACTCACTTAAATCCAAATACCTGGAAGCGGAGACTTCAGCCACTGCCGGATTGTTTTCCCGATCGGAGGATTCGGATAACCGAGTCAGGGACGGAGCGTCCGCCTCCGTGCTCCACTCGGCTTCCAGTTTCAATTTCTCCGATCCCGGTGACTACTTTCCGATTGAGGTGAAAGATAGTACAAAAAACACTTGTTCTATGGTTGGCGGCCTGGAATCTAATGCGATCACGTCGATGAAGGGCAGAGAGGACTTCAAGGTAAGTTTAAAATTCAATGGAATCAGTTCTGATGAAATTTTTATTGTAGATTTTTGAGAACTTGGTGTGACGTGTTAAATGTTGAAATTAGAAGGGACTTGAAGCGTCAGAGGTGACGGTAGATCCTATTCCGCCGCGTTCCTCCAAGAGGAGCAGACCATTAGAGGTCCATAACTTGTCCGAGAAGGTTTGCTCTGATTTTCATTTAGAAGTGTATAGATCTTTTAGTTTTGGATTTGTTTATATGTTTAATTTGGTGGACAGAGGAGAAGGAGTCGAATCAATGAGAAAATGAAAGCATTGCAGAGTCTAATTCCGAATTCTAACAAGGTGATTACTTAATAGGACATGCCCTTTGAGCTTTATTTATTATTTTAATTATTCGTTCGCTCAGATTTTGATCTAGTTTTCTGGGCATGATTTGTTGAACTTTTGTTGCATTTTTCGGTCTAACAGACTGATAAGGCATCAATGCTGGATGATGCCATTGAATATCTGAAGCAGCTTCAACTACAGGTACAGGTGAGTGTTCAGTTCAGTCCATCTGACTAGTGTTTAGCTACAAATTGTTTGTCATATGAGGTCAATCTAATGTTTTTGGTTACTATACTTCCTGTCTTGTTGGCACTAGATTATTTTTGGCTGTTTTCAATTAACTGGATGTGCATAGAGTATTCTTTGATCAATCTTCACACTGTGTCGGGTTAAATTTTATGTATGGTAACCAGGGGAAAAACTTGCATGGAAGGTATCTTAAAAACTCGTGCTGTGAGCTCTTCAATGTAAAGCCAATTGAATTCTGAATACTGCAACAAGGATCCTATTTAACATGGGTTATTTAAACAAGAACGCCTTAAATTTGTGTAGTCGTCATGGGTAGGAAGTATGTGCTATATTTCCTCTTTCTTTGTAAGATAGCTACACACCATCTTGTGATGACATGAAAAGTAATTAAAAAGTTGAAGGGGAGTGCAAGAAAGTAAAAGGGAAGCATTTATGTTTCTCAATGTTTGCAAAGATTAGTTTTCTTCTTCTTAAGATACTATCATAACCATTGGTGTGAGTGTCTTGACATATCAAGGGTGAGAATTCCATGCCAGAAAAAGAAAAATGGAAGAGCCTTAATATATTATAGACGGATTCACAACTTATAGTAAGATTGGGTGGAGCCACATTTGTCACTTCCGGTAAAATGGTACAATTGTAACTTCATCTTAAATCAGCCTTCCACATCTTTGCTTGTATTCAGTTATCGCATATCATATCCTGGGTTGAGTTCAATTTCTAACACATATATACTCAAGCTTTTAGGTGCTCTGCAAAGGTTTGTATGATTAATTTATATTGGACCCCTGTCAGAGTGGTAGCTGGTTTAGGTTTCATAATTCCATTTTTGTGTGCCTTAGTTGAGATTAATACTTAAACTCTTCTTTCAACCTTCTTGCCAAGCATTGTAGAAGATATCCAATGGTGATAATAAAAATTAAAATAGTTGGTAACTTTTTGTTTCTTCTTTATTGTGGTTTGCTTCACAGATGCTGACTATGAGAAACGGATTAAATTTCCATCCTACTAATTTGCGTGGATCATTACAACCAATTCAACTCCCCCAGATGGCAATGAATTTTAAGGAAGAAAATGGATTGCTGAATATGGACAGAGGAGCAGATACCTTTCCTGGGAATCAAGAAATTCCTAGGCGAACTGCATTTCAAATTCTCAACCATGCTGCCCCAAGCCAACCAATGGTAATACCCCCATTAACAAATATTATGAATTTAGAGAGCTCCTTCTGTTTGGAAACATCAATTCAGACTCAGTATGGAGTTCCCAATCATTTGACATCTTCAAAGGTAACTGTGAATCTAGAATTCATATGAACAGTCAAATGTTCGGGATTAACACCAGTTTACCTCAAATGTGTAGGATATCTACCGGGATGATATACTATCACGGCTGAATTTAGATATAAGTTGCTCGGGTCACAATTCATCACCGGGTGTGTCTTCTTAGCCAAAAAGATGCTGGCGTAATAGAAGTGGTACGTGGAGTGTTGGCAATCATATTCAAGACCTTTGTTTGAAAACCACAGAAATGGTAAATAATTCTTAAAATTGCTGATGAATTATTTGGTACTCTCTCTCTCTCTCTCTCTCGCGCGCCCGTTTGATCAGCTCATTAGGTTAATTGTGCCAAAAGAAGCATAAACAGACTTGTGGTATGTGTAACTACTAAAACTCTTGTTTACTTAACCTATGACTGTTCCCGTTTCCCATATGTTTTTATCTACAAAGGCATGTTTTGTTGTAATAAGCGGTTGTTACCGTTCTTTTTCACTATCCTATGCAAAGTTTGTGCTCGTAAATAAGATGTGAAAAAAGGGGTAAAACCAAAATAAAATTGAATTCAGAGGGGTAGAAAAAAGGAAGGTAGTGGTGCTCCCCTGCCTCCACCGAGCCTTGAACTCTTCAATTTCTAGCAAAACGTATCAGTTGAGCCATCAGTAGCCCCAAAGCCTAAAGGACTCTGATTCTTATGAATCTCACACCTATGGAGTAAGAATGACGCTTTCCTTGGAGGCTTTTCAGAAATTGTGAAATCAAAACAAGCTAGTTGCCATCAAGGACAAAAACAACCTCTATGCCTACATAAATTATATTTTTGTGACTGTTTTCTAGTAACTGCCAAAGTTGAATTATGTGGGTTTTAATTTTAAGGGCAAATTTTTTATTTCATTCTCCCATTATTTTGTTGTGTCACATCTTATTGCTTGTGGTGTGAAAATAATGACATAATTGTTATATGGCTTTGGACTAAAAAAACGTCACAAATTCCATCCAAATTGATAATAAAGGACAAAAAATCCCTTATAATCTTCATATACAGATAAAAACAACACTCTGCGATTATGTTTAATAAAGTCCCGTACTTTTAATTGTAGAGATGTCTACCACTCTAATTGTGGAGATGTGTATCCCTCATGTAGCGATAGTGTAGCAAGGTTAGAGTATTTTCGATAGGTTCTTTGTTTTTACTTAATTTTATTTTTTATTCTATCATTGAATTTTAATGAAATTTGTTTATTTGATAATGAAGGTTGTGTCACATCACTTGACATGAAAAATTTTGATAATAAATTTTGGTCAACAACATAGTGTCGTTGAAATATTTAATGTAATCACTGTTACGTAGTGTCACCATTCAATTAAAAAATGACAAGTAGATAAAGTAAATTCCATTAAAATAGATAGTCAAATTTGACTCTTCGCATTTGAAAATCTTGGTTCACTTTTTATTTTGTTTTTAATAAATGAAAAGATAACACATATATATTTTTCATTAAATGATCTTTGACTATAAGGTTATTCTTCTACTAGAATAGAGTCAATTGAAGTTTGCTTAAATATTTCACTCTATCTCAAATTTGCATAAAAGATTTTTTTTTTTTAATTTTTTAAAAAATGCTCTAAAATAGGAGAAAATATTCAATACAATGGTGATATCACATTAGTATTGTCACTTTGTATCACTAACCAATAAAATATAAACAAATAAGAAAATAAATATCACACAAATTAATAATTATACATTCATTCATGTAAGTTAATAACTATTCATTCTCTTTTCATATAAGTCAATAATTATCAAAGTGAAGTTTACCTTAACTATTTGGTATGCTATTATTAGTTGGTAATAATACAATACGACAACATTGACTCGGTATTACCGTTTTATTAAATAAATATTATTATTAGAGATGTTGATACGAACCGCAGTCTTTGTAGACCTTAGGCTTGTTTTGACACGATTCACACATTGGAGTAGTAGTATAGAATGAGCTGATAAAATATTCAGATCAAATTCGCACAACCTAAATAGCTAAAACCTTTTAGTCGGTTGGTTTGGACATAAAGGTGTCACCAAGCCCATGCCAATGGTTCAGATGAATAAAGCACTTCTTAACTTTCCTTAAAACCCAATTAGGTATCTCTCCAATCACATAATCAATGGCTTTTGACATTAAAACCTATAGAGCATTTAGCATCTTCTTGTCTTATAATTACAAGCCCCCCCTCCCCGCACTATAAGAAAAGCAATCATAAAAGTCCACAAACTTGACCCAAAAGGAGTATCTTCCAACGCAATACTAAAAACCATAAACCTCATCGCTTAACAACAACAATATTCAAACCTAAAATGCTTCCATCACTATCGTCTCGTCCTTGCAGATTTTTTTTTTTTCTCTCAGCTGGGCCACACGAATAAATAAGTTCATACGAACGACACAGAATCAAACACAAGGAAATAAAATGATGCTAATCCGGATCCACCAAAACTCCAATAAGAAAATTAGAGCATAAATACTATAAATTATTCAACAAGGAAGAGTGTAAGAAGATAGATACTTCCTATTTGATACATATAATAAGATCAATTATACTTTTTATCCCTAAGTTTTACATTGAATTTTATTGATTTTAATATTCAGGTTTTGACAAAGTTTTAAATCTGTATGATTTCTATTGAAAACATTAACAAAAAAATTTGTATTGTTATAAATTATAGTATAAAATAGNTTTATCCCTAAGTTTTACATTGAATTTTATTGATTTTAATATTCAGGTTTTGACAAATTTTTAAATCTGTATGATTTCTATTGAAAACATTAACAAAAAAATTTGTATTGTTATAAATTATAGTATAAAATAGTTGTACAATATATTGTGTTGTTATAGAACAATGTCACACGAGTGTATCATGTAATGCACATATGTTTTTATTTTTTGGGAAGAATTTAATTATTATTACGGATTGAATTTAGTTTATAATGTTAAAATTAGAGGATATAGTTTAAAATTAAAAAAAAAAAAGATAAAGGTACGAAACATAGTTTGTTAAGGCCATCGGCCATAGATTTTTTCCTTGCGTGAAGAATCGAATTTATACAAGATAAAATATTAGTCCATCTACGGTGATAGCATCTGAAATATATAAAAAATAAATATATATATATATATTTCGAGGTACAGAATGTAATTCACACTAAAACATAAGAGAACAGTGGGCCATGCCCCTTATTCTAGAAGTCCCATCATTACAGCTCTCTCTCTCTCTCTCTCTCTCTCTCTCTCTCTCTCTCTCTCGCGCACGCACTGCACACACACACAAACTGACAGAGTCGGCTACCTACGGAGTCCCCACCCATTGCTTCTATCAATCCACTAGCACACGGTCCATACATCCCATTGTCCGTTTTCTTCTTTTGCCTTCACGTATCTTGTTAATGTGTCTCTGTAGCAGTTAACTAGCAGAAGGAGAGAGAGAGAGAGAGAGAGAGAGAAATGTCTGATGGTAATCGAAGATTTTTGAACGATGAGCTCTCTAAACGAACCTCAATCTTTGGTCTGCGTTTATGGGTTGTCCTGGGTATATGCGTTGGTGCAGCAATTGTTCTCGTTCTCTTTCTAATCTCTCTCTGGTTCACCTCAAAACGTAACTACAAGAAGAATTCATCCAAACACAAGTCCTCTCAAAGACCGATAATCCCAAACATCTCCAAAGAAATTCAAGAAATCCGAATCGACACATCTCGATCCCACACTCACTCCAGCCATGAAAACCCCAAGCTCCATCAAGCTCCAATTCCTGAACCCGTACCCGAATCGAACCCATTAGCTCGAAGTGAAGGACACGCTTTACTGGGTGAGGATGAGAATCCAACTGGGAACCAGAGAATTCATATTGAGATAGGGAAGGGACATCGGATTTCGTACCCGGAGCGAGTTGGTGGTGGTGGGTCGTCGAATGGTAGTGGGGAGGCTAAGTCTGGTGATCAAATCGCTATAGCGGTGCCTGAGGTGTCGCATTTGGGGTGGGGACATTGGTATACTCTTCGAGAGCTCGAGGTTTCCACCAATGGGTTTGCCGATGAAAATGTGATTGGTGAAGGTGGGTATGGAATCGTGTACCATGGTGTCTTGGAAGGTAATAACCCAGTTGCTGTCAAGAATCTGCTCAATAACAGGTGCACTATTAATAGTTACTAATAAAATTTGCCCATCCGTATTTCATGAATTTTGTGTATAATGTACAATGAATTTATGTTATTGCACGCAGTGCCAACAAATGATTTGTTACAGATTTTTTCATCTTCTTTTTGAGGGCTAACGTTGTTTTGTTGCAGGGGACAAGCTGAGAGAGAGTTTAAGGTTGAAGTTGAAGCAATTGGACGTGTTCGGCACAAGAATTTGGTGAGGTTGCTTGGCTACTGTGCTGAAGGAGCTCATAGGTACTTTGACTTTAATTGCAACCCTGTGCATGGAGTCATCTTCAATCTAGAATTAGAAATAGGAAATTGCTATATATAAACGCCTCAACAATAAGACTGTTTATCCTTTCATCTTGAAATTAACCTCAATTGTAAGTTTCCTAAATTAGATGCACTCACATTCTTGCTTTGGTTTGTTAGGATGCTTGTTTATGAGTATGTAGACAATGGGAACTTAGAACAGTGGCTTCATGGTGATGTAGGGCCTTGCAGCCCTCTCTCATGGGATATTCGTATGACCATCGTACTTGGAACAGCGAAAGGGTACATTTTGAATAATTACCTTATACAATTTGAGTTTCTGTTCTTGAATTATATCTTGTGTTGTATAAGTAAAAGTTAATGAATCTTGTTAGGTTGACGTATTTGCATGAGGGGCTGGAGCCTAAGGTTGTTCACCGTGACATCAAGTCAAGCAATATTTTGCTTGATAAGCAATGGAATCCGAAAGTGTCTGATTTTGGCCTAGCCAAGTTATTAGGCTCCGAGAGGAGCTACATTACTACACGGGTTATGGGAACATTTGGGTTAGTGAAACTCTATTAGCAAAATATTATTTCTCATTGACAGGGACAAAGCTGTCAAATAAAAAGAAATGACAACTTTTTGGTTTTGTTATGTAGCTATGTTGCTCCAGAATATGCGAGTACCGGGATGCTGAATGAGAGAAGTGATGTGTACAGTTTTGGGATTCTTATTATGGAGATCATTACCGGGAGGAATCCGGTGGATTATAGCCGACCTCCAGGGGAGGTTTGTATTCAATAACCAGTATCATTTAATTAGCTTTTCCATTTTATTCCTTTCTCCATTTTTGTGTCCTCTTTTTTCCTTTAACCTATTGTCTAAAGCTACAAATCAAATTCACAGGTGAACCTAGTTGATTGGCTTAAAACAATGGTTACAAACCGGAATGCAGAGGGAGTTTTGGATCCTAAAATACCTGAAAAGCCTTCTTCGAGGGCATTGAAGCGT